AACCGGATCTTATAAGGCCTAACTGCCCAAGCCACTATGATATTCGGATTCAGCATAGTCGATTACCTATTGTCCACTAGAAAAGGGATAAAAAGCGATTTGCCAGTTGGGGACCTTCCCTCGTTAGATAAATCGCATAAAAATGGTAAAATATTTAATCTAATATTTCCTGGGATGGTAACATGGTTTCGATAAAGTTTTCTTTTTGGATTTCTGTGTCCATTGCCTCAACACTACACAAGCATTGCGTTGTTGTTATCGATCCTCTTATGCAATCCATTTTTCGAACCAGCCTGGAGTAACATGCTCTACATAATATTTCTGTATTATTTGCGAGCTACCGTCAATGCAGTGTGTCATAAAAATCTTTGGTGCAGTTGTGTAATTTTTCCTAGATATTTTCTGTTGTTTTCCGATGAACTGTACATAGGGTACCGTTGTATTTTCGAATGGCATCGTGAAATACAAGAAAAAGAAATCAAAACAATGATAAACGAGGTAGTTCTGATTGGAACTTTGAGATCAAATTATTTGAATTAATATACAATATGAAACGCAGAAAGAGAAGAAGTAAAAAAATCGCCTTTTCAGCAGAGGTCATTCGAAAGTGTCGAACCGACATTAAATCATTACAAGCTGTTTGAACCGATCGTTCTAGTCTGTTGGCATTTTTTAATATCGAATATCCTGTTAACATCGCTTTTTCCAGAATATCAGTCACACTTAGCACTGACTTTAATAATTTTGTAGACATTTTAATTTCTCTTCCAGATGAAAAGATGTTATAATTTAAATCTTTTGTAGTGTGTAACGTTTCGTTGTAGTTTACAACTTCATCAGACGAATATGAAATAAGAAATAATATAACAAAATGACAGCCATATGCGCAATGATAGGCTAGTCTGTTGTTTCATTTTTGTTATAATAGTTTACTTTAATAATGTTACTTTTAGTCGCATTACTAGTGCAAAAGTTCTTGCACTGAGAAGAATAGTACTAAAGCAGACTAATAGATCGACTATGACGATCAGCTTTACCAAAAGTATTACTGGTAGAGTTAGGAGTATCGTATGCTGGATATATCCTTCGCTCTTGTATGCTCACGTATTAAGACATCAGCTAGAAGTTACCTAATGATACGTGAAAAGTTCAAGGTGAAGGTAAGTTATAAATAGAGTAGAGAACAAAAAGAAAAAATTTGTTCACTCGTTTTCTTTTCCTTGATTTAGGTAGCTTACTCCTCTGCTTGTATGTGACTTTATCGCAGTTATATGTTACAACTGGAAGTTTAGCTATCTAAAGCGACAAAATTGATGTGATGGGTTTTTCCTCTTTCTTTTTTGTTCTCTTGACTTATTTAACTACTATTCGTTCCAAAGTACAATGCTGTCGGTTACTTTTTGAATAACTTTTGATAGAAGCTAAATAGAGACCTGCGGTTTTCACTTTTGAAAATTGAACACCTAAACACATATTTCTGTAAGTAAAAGCGAATTTCGGAAGAATTTCTGAAGCGGGTATTTTAGAGGATCTTTGGAAAACTAGCTTGGATTTTCCGAAATTCACATAGGAATGCATTGATTTTTTTCATGGACTGATAGCCCAGGGTGTTCTCTTCAGAATGGGAGTAAAGTAGACCTTGATTTTCTGCGGTTCGGGCGTTGTATCAAATTTTCGACGAGTCCCTGGACTAGCACCCGGTGACCTTTGGCAGCCTTAAGAGAGACTTCACCAGTCGATCGAGTATCTTGCCAAAGACCGATCACGAGTGAAAAATTGACATATACTTTTTATTTCATATTTAGATTAAAACCGGGATTATGAAAAATAAAAAAACTTTCTGATTTATTCTGGCTGAGTTATAGAATTTACAAAATGAGCACCATCATCGACTTGCGAATATGTGCAACTTTTGCTTATTAAGCGATTAATCCAATAAAAGATTGAACCCGATATACAATTCTTTTTTTTGTTAGATTAATTTGCTTTTTTCCTATGTCAAACTGTTTTGATGTGATTTCCTCTTATCTTTTTCATAATATTAATGTTTTGTGCAGTTAAATCCGGTGATTAAAGTAAGGCGAAATAACTGCTCAATGACTCTCAGATTGAAAGACCGTGTCAGGACTTGTTGATTATCCGGGATCAGTTCTGCTATTCAGAAAAATAGTTAGCTGTTGTTGAATCTTATTTATGGCACGGTAATAGCTTCGACTCCGTAAAAACTGTAGAATAGATTCCTTATACAAAAACTTGTATAAAAATCGCACGAAAGATCACGGTTTTCTTGTTCGACCGTCCCACTTACACCTCGCAATCGTTGATCTTATTCAAATTTTTGTATGTAGGGTCCATTGTGCGTTTTCACCGGGATCTTTTGTGATTTTTTTCTTATTTTTCTAGAGTGAAAGCAGACGATTTCTCGTTATAGTCTTCAATGAGAGTGTTACTTTCCTTTTCTTTATCAATCAATAAGTAATTAAACTTATTAGTTATTATCGGCAGACAACTAATAAATCTTGATACCTTATTACTTATTTAAGTCATATCTTTTATTACTTTACTTATTACTGATAATAAGTAAACTAAAAAAAATTATTATATAAAGAAGTAATAAAAGATCCCTCCCCCTGTCATAATGCAAGACCACCTGGTCTTCTATTTCAAGTCATACAACCGGTAGTGGTCTTCTATTCTAAAATCGAGATGCATTTTTGCCAAAAACTGGTAAACGGTGTGCTTAATTTCTGATATTAAAAATGGGCATGTTCTGAAACATCAACTACATGTACCTGAAAATAAGTTGAAAGGAAGAGAAGACAAGAAAAAAAAGTTTACACTATTTGGTCGAGACACTACATGCGAAAAACGAATTGAAAGATACGGTCTCGTGAGTTCATGATTGACAAATGTATACGTACACTTGATGCACACTCAATTTTTTACGCAGTATATTTGTTTCATCGTAATAATTAAAGAGATACTTATTTTATTAGGTTATCTCGAGACGGATACACATCCAGTTAGAAAATATTATAAGTAGTACGTACATAACTATTTAAATATCTTTTACGAATACGTTTATCTATGTCTCATGAATATCTTTGCGATAAAGGGATTTTTCTTTATGTGTGAGAAGGATTTTTCACATATAAGTTGGATTTTACTAATCACACATGAAAACTACAATGACATGTCCCGGATCAAAATCAGAGCAGATATTCGGGCTTATTTCAACAGATTTATACAACATACTACTATCAGTGCCAAAATACCAGAGAAATGTACATTTTTTGAATAACTTTTGATAAAAAATGGAAGTAAAGCGAGACCTTAATTTTATGCGGTTCGGGCGTTGAATCGGATTTCCTAGGAGTCTCAGGATTGGCACCCGGTGCCTACTGGGAGCGTTCGTTCGTTGGGTGAAAACAGCATAAAAATCCTAGTTTTCGTAAAACTTGGCTTTTAGGTAGATTTTTAAACATTTTTCCAAAAATAAACATTGCCACGAAACTCAGCATGGTCGATTACCCATAGTGTATCCATCTTTGAAGTTTCCAGTAGGCACCAGGTGCCAATCCTGAGACTCGTAGGAAATCCGATTCAACGACCAAACCGACGAAGAACGAGCAAAAATCAAGCAATACAATCCTATTGGGAAATTTTTACAGATGGTCTAGTTTTCAAAGATCTCCTAGTAAACCTGTTTCAAAAAATTCTTCTGAAAACAATTCTAGTTATAAAAACGTACCTTCAACTTCCTCTTTCGAATAACAAAAATCGGAGCTCTCTAGCTCTTTTCTATCAAAAGTTATTCAAAAACTATATATTTCTCTGGTATTTTGGCGCCGATAGTAATGCGCTGTTTTTCGCATAAGTCTACAAGAAAATACTTGCTAAACAATTCTAAATTTATTTATAAAAGAGTCTCGAAAAAGCAAACTACCATTTTTAGCTGAATATTTAATGCAGAAAAGGTACTCTCATAGAATCAATAACAGCGTAGGGTGTTAATGGCAAAAAGTGACAAGACTTGTGAACTCTAACATACTTAGTCTTTGCAAAAAAGACAAAAATTCTGAAAGCTTTGCCTTTTCATCAACTTTCTGCATACCGTTTGAATTTCGGCATGTCTTGAAGCAACATATCAAGCCTTACGACAGATGTGCGTGGCAAATCACATAGAGCTAAGGAAAAACGGTTTTGAGAGCATTAAAAATCTTTGACGGAGTGAAAGGCGAATCAGATCTTTTACGTTGAACAAGAGTAAATAGCCTCAAAGAGATACAAGTGGATGTACTCATCAACTCTGTTTGTTTATCTCTTTGGCAGATTGAGGTACAATGATAAAAAAAGCAGATAATATACAAGTTTATCTCACCTGTGCATTTGCATCTATTGGTGGTTTTCTGTTTGGCTACGATACAGGTGTTATCAGTGGAATACTGACAATGAATGACTTTCTTAAGTACTTTGGCGGTACGCACGCTCTGCAACGACAGCAGCTCGACAGCTCGATATCAGGCGCAATTGTGGGCATTTTGATCGCGGGATGTTTCATTGGCGCACTGTGTGGGGGTCCGGCTGGAGGTAAGTGAACTATGCACAATCACCAGAATTCCTTCAGTTCCAAGTTTTTTTTCTTTAGATCGTTTTAGTCGTAAATATTCTATTGTGATTTCTTGTTGGATTTTCATCATCGGTGCTATATTACAAACTGCAAGCGTTCACATTGCAATGCTGTTAATTTCTCGTTTTGTCGCTGGTAAATAGATATTCGTAATTTTTATCTACTTTTCCGCTCTTAATGTTAACTATAGGCGTTGGAATTGGAGCATTATCGATGCTGATACCTGTATATCAATCAGAAATTGCACCAAAAGAAATCAGAGGACGTTTGGTTTCCCTTCAACAATGGTTAATCACAATCGGCATTGCTGTTAGTTTTTGGATTAACTACGGTATATTCAGTCTCTCTTTTTTTGTTTTCATAAGGTTAATAAGATGGTCAACTCCACAAGGAAAGATTCACATCATTTAGAAGAGACTGGACTTTACTTTTGGGAAGGGTCGAGGTACTGAATAAGTATTTAGACTCTCACAACCCCACATCTCTTCCTCTGTCGCCTGGAAGCCAAAAAATTAATGTTTCCCGAATTTTTGATTTATTCGAAATATTTTCATTGGAGACAACGAAAAAATAATCTCTTAATTTTTCTTCCTTTCTCGCTACCCAAATTCGTCCACTAACCTTTCTTAGACGTGAGCAGGATCGAGACTAGAAAACCGTATTCTTGTCCGTACAAAATCGATTTCTAGTGACTTTGCGATTCTCTTTTGATGCGTTGGCCTGCGTGTGTTTTATTGAAATTAAGTTCGATTGATAAAGTATATGTTTTCTTGTAGGCACTGATTCGCATTTGAGCGGTAGCAGTGTCTCATGGCGTGAGAATAATCAAATATCACGTAATATAGAGAGCAGCAAAAACGTAGCGAGTGAAATCTCTCACGTTATAAACAGACACGCACAGTTTACCACTGGGACTACAAATTATTCCTGCCTTAATTCTTGCGTTTGGGATTTTCTTTTTTCCATTTTCACCTCGATGGCTGTTAGACCATGATCGCGACGAAGACGCTATTAAAGTTTTGGCGCGAATTCGTGCTAAGGGTGATAAATCAGATCCGATCGTGCAAGCGGAATACCTTGAGATCAAAGAAGAAATTGCACTTGAACGTGCAGAGTCTGTACGTTCGTATTTAGAATTATTCAAATATCCGTTGAGAAGACGTTTAGTTTTGGGATTGTTTTCACAAATATTTCCTTAACGGTTCGTTTATTACAAGTAATCATTGTTAGACACAAGTTATGGCTTCAGCTGCTTCGCAACGAGTCAAGTCGAGTCATATTTGAATGTTCACCAACAATTTACCGGTATCAATTCAGTCATGTATTATGCACCTGCTATATTTAAACAGGCGGGTCTAGGAAGTAACAGTGCGTCGTTATTGGCAACCGGTATTAATGGATGTGTAAATATTTTAGCTACGATACCTGCAATATTGTGGGTCGATAAACTCGGCCGTCGATTACTATTAATATCTGGTGCATTTGTGACAGCAGTATCAATGTTAGTTGTTGGCGGTGTGATTATAAGTATTCATTTATTACAACGGTACTATTGTTTGTGCCTACGCTTTGAAATGTTGTCGCTTAATGATGACGATATTTGTGAGTGCCTAGTTGGGCGCCCATGGGCACAAGATCGTTGATTCTTATGGGGCTGTAGGTATTGCTTTAGACAGCCAGAGTGCCAAATATGTAATCATCGTATTTGTCTACGTTTTTGTTGCTGGATTTGCCTACTCGTGGGGTCCCACAACATGGTAAAGAAACAAACTTTATGCTCTCTTTCTTGTTTCTTTTATTCTCTTCTACTACTTTTTAGGATCTACTGCACAGAAATATTTCCACTAAGTATGCGAGCAAAAGGCACATCATTAACAACAGCCGGTAACTGGGGAGCAAACATGATTGTTTCATTCATTGTACCGGTAATGATGGAACGAATCACTTATGGTACATACTTGTTTTTTGGCTCATGCTGCGTTGTCATGCTTGTCGCTGTATTTCTCTTCTATCCAGAAACAAAAAATAAACGTTTAGAAGACATTGACGAAGTATTCAATACTTCATCAGTTATTGTCGCATTTGGAAAATCAAAAGGTGGAAAAATTAAACCATATGCAAAGCAGGACGTACTCGATGGAAATGTAGTAGAATTAGCTGCTGGTAGGAGACGAACAACCCCACAACCTTTGAAATCTGCCAGTGAAATTGCGTTTGACAGTTTACCACCCGACTATAGTAGTGGAGACAGTGAACCGCGGACACCGCTAGACTTCCCGCGTACATCTATTGCCAGTAATCACAATCAAAGAGTATCAGTCAAAAGACCAAAACCGTCACCCGATGTTTCAAGAGCATCTTTGACTGTATTACAAACTCGGGCGGACGCCGCACGCAAATCGATCACAGATGAAATAAACGAAAGTGTAAAATTTTAGGTGTTCGATCTATTTCTTACCTGCACATAAATGTGGGAAAAAAATGTTTTTTGTACGTATAATTTGCTATTGTAAATAAATTATTTATAAAAGATGATAAGTTCAGTGAACTCAAAGCAGAAAAAAGCTATCTTATTCTACGTAAGTTTCGAATGGTGCGAGAACTAATTTTCCAACTGATTATGTAAGAATATTCACAGTTTTCATGAAATACGAAGCTGACCGCATCCTCCCTCTCAAAAACTACACGTCAATCTTTAGATATACATGAATCAAGACGTGGCAGCTGATAAGCTGTCTACACTGTCTGATGAAAAATCCGGAGAAATAGTTTTGAATTTGTTTACTGCAGAAAAATTGCAGATAAACAAAATCAGTCAGGGACAGATCCTAATACCTACAAAAAAGAACTGTCTTTAACTGGCAGATTTGTGACAATAGTTGATTATCTCTGTTGAGGTAGTGAATATCATCTGCGATGTAAAATAGTTTGTCAATCAGCCAATAGAATCTATTTTTGTTCTCGAAGTAGGATAAAATAATGAAAAGAAAGAACACCTTTTTAACATTTGACTCGAAAGAAGCTGCGTGCTTACACTTTCTCGCTGCTGTTTGGATATTCTGGATCTAAGGCAGAGATGCAACCGAACCGGTCTGATAAGTCCGACGGAATCTATCCTGATTTGAATACTAATTGTCGTCGATTCTACCAATGTGATGGTGGAGCGTTGGTAAAAGAGGCGACTTGTCCTGGTGTGCTTAAGTTTAATACCAACACGGATATATGTGATTATCCTGGACGAGCGTCTGCACCATGAAACTAGACACTTCATTCCATCATGCATTATTAGTGATCAAATTAAAATTATTAAAATTAATAACTTGATAGATTGTGTAGTTAGTAAGAAATTTTTAGTAAGATACTCATGCACGTTTACTAAAAAGAACGAATGTAACAAAGTTAAAATATGAAATTTTTAAGTAATGTTTTCAATATTAATATTAGAAATTTGGGCGCCCGTTCCCGATCCGGTCGAGACTTATCAACTTGTCGATTCGATCCGTTCTGGATCGGCTTAGCTAATAACTAGAAAATATGACAGAAAAAAGCATATTTAGTATCATTTTGTACTACTCAAAGAAAGAATAATAATTGCATTCATTATTTACATATTCTATCCAATTGATCATCTAAAAGCTGTTTCGTTGATTTCTTTGTTTTGTCACATAATTCAATATATACAGCTTTAAATTGCTTCCTCAATTAGATTTATGATCGATTTCGTTCTATCTTTTCTTTTAACATATTCTGGCGGTGTAATAAATGTTTTAGATGAATTCCAATATAAATTTAAATTCGGTAAATGATAAGATGGCCATGACTGAGTCATACATTGCTCGAAATATTCGTCTTACATGGCTAAATTGATCGAGCGATGGTGTCTGTTTATATTGTCCAATGATCTGTGTATAAGGATTATCGGATAATGTTTAGTGAAGACTTGACCTAAGATTTGAACATGTTGAAGTGAAAATTCTAATGAATTTGAAAAGTTTTCAAACGATTTGATGATCATTTATTGAATTTCTCGATTTTTATTGATCAGCGCTTTATTATAAATATATTGTAAAAAATTATCTTTTGTTCTATTTGTTTGTGTGTCTGATTTGAATGCATCAATTTGACTAATAATATAACAAATCATTGTTTTTCCTTGATTGATCGCATTTTTATCATTAATATTACAATTTTGTTTTTAAATGGGATTTAATAAAATCAATAACAATTTTTTTCAAATCAAAACAAATATTAAATCAGTATCTTTTAAAATTTCATTTATTCTTTCGTCCGAAAAGTCATTTTGATCAAATTCTGCTATATTCCGTAATTCAACATTTTTTAACTCATCTATCGGTAATTTAATTCAAATTTCACCTTTACATAATTCATTTGTACGATCTTCATTTTGTAATTTAACAAGTTCAATTGCTTTTTGTGACAATTCTGTTATATTATTGAATATTCTTGATTCTTAATTATTGCTCGACGAGCTTATCAGAGCTAAACGTATTTCTTCTTCATAAGTAATTTTTGTTAATCTTGCTCTTCATTCTCGATTGGACTAATTTCAGCTTCTAGCAAGAAATTTATAAAAATCGAATTCGTTCATTTCGTACTACCAAAAAATGTGATTATAATTCTTTGATGACTATTGATTACTGTTTCATACTGATCGTCTAATAAAACATCTAATTCCATTGGATGTTTTTATCTCATTTTACTAACGGCCTGTCCAGGCGTTACGGACTTACGCTTTTTTTAGTCTGTAGCCATTTTTTCTGTAACGGACGATGCTGTGAGGATCGTTCTTGCGTCAGCTGATAGAGCTCGGTGAGTTCTATTTGCAACCAACATATTGTGAGCTTCAGCCAAGTGGCACGGTTTTTATACAAATAATATTGAGCGTTATGGACTTACAAAAAAAAGAAGTGAATGTAGAGCAGAGCAAAAACAGATAATAAGTTTAGCGAATAATGAGGTACGTTCAAAAAACCTTTTCGCAGCAAATGTAGCTGAAAATTAAGCCTATATAAAGCAAGAAAAGATTTGTCTCGAAAGTGTTTAGTCTGGCAGATACATCAAAAACAAAAATGTTATGAACTTACGTTTCGTTATGGACTTACAGCTTTTTTTTGGTTCTTTCAAATCAGAAGGTTAAACTTCATTACAAAAGTCGTCATAGATAAATATTTCCGACAGCAGTAGACAGTATCTGATCTGATCTGATCTTTCCGATGCACCGTATAAAAACGTTTTGAAATCGTTTTGACTTGGAGAAAAACCCGTTTTAAAAGTTGGTCTTTCGAAAAATCAACTTTCTTGGAAAGCACCTAAACTCAATAAATACACCATCTTGTAGAGAATTAAATTCTCTACAAAATGCCATATCTCTTAATTTTTTCGCGAAAATATCTAGGTCAGGAAATTAAAAATAAAATTTGAATTTCATTTTTTGAAAATTTTAAGTTGATATTTGAAATCAGCTTCAAAAACTACGTTAGACGATGTGCTTCACAAATTCTTAAAGTTAAAAAGAAATTTTTGAACCATCTTAAGTAAACATCAATGGTTTTTCATTGAAATCAAATAAGCATAATATACTTAATAATTTTGTTTCTTCTAGTAATGCTTTCCATTTTTCAAGCATGAGATTTTGTTTAAATATGTCTTGCTTTGATCTCAGCTTTTAACGAACAGATTCATAGAACATTTGTCGTTTATTGCTATGGTAATTGTTTTCACTATATTGTAACGTATTTTGCATAAATCTTCTAATCTTCTAGTTTAACATGCTATAATGGCCTTAGGGCCGACTGTATGTCTTATTAGTTATTTTCTGTCAATAAAACTTAAACCAAGTCTTCTAGTATTCCAATTAAAACATCGATATCATTCGGCACATCCTTCTCATCGTACGTCTGTTGTTGAAATCCGTTTATGAAATTTTCTAATCGTTCAATTTCTTTTATGCTTGCTTTTTCAACATCAATAAGTGTCCAGAGATGCATGTTGTCATTCATTCTTGGTTAAAACTGACTATGATAGTAACCAGTTTAACTGGTTTTGTTTATACTTCTTATCTTCTTAGCTGTTATTTACGATGACAGAGAAAGAAAACTGTAAATTCACGTGAAGGCTAAAAGTTATGTGTGAGTTTTGCAAACGAATTTCGTTGTTTTATCTTCCGTTCTCCGTTCAGTTCTCCTTTTGAACAAATTGGTGCGTGTCAGTATTAGAGATGTTCGGTTCTCGGTTCTCGTTAAGAACTGGAACCACGGTTCGGTCATATATCGTTATACTGTAACGATATATGGCGCAAAACATTGATACTGTGGTTTGAAATTTCATTATCCCTAAGACAGAGAGGGAAAGGTTCAGGCAGGCACGTAGTCGGAAATTTTCCAACTGAAAGACCAACTTTTTTGAGAAATAACGACTCGTCCAATGAAGACATGCCCATGGTAAACAAAACATTTTTCATTTCGCGTGATTTATCTTATCTCTTTGCATCTGATCCTCTTTTGAAATGCATTCTATCAAAATCGATAATTAAATTCGTATTTCTACTAGAATAATAATCCACATTTTGAAAACACCCGTTTATTTTCAGTGACCATATCAAATTCGGCGCCACGTTTTGTTATTATAGAAAAAGTTTCGTTCAATTTATTTCTCTGTTTTCACACTATGAGCTATTCGTTCGTTTATTGTAATGGATAAAATTATTGAATTTGTGATCGATAATAAAGTGATGATGCTAAAATTGCACAAGATTTATATTTAAAAGAGAAAGTTTTCAAAACAATGCAACAACTATTTATTTAAATTAAGTTTTAATATAATTTTTACTTGATATCAACGATGATTTTTTCTTTTTCTAGTCTTTCCTTCTGTGTTCGATATACATCCGACAATGTTCCATTTGTTGTTCGGTAATTTATTATAAATTAAGTTGGTGTCAATAATGAAAAAAAAGGAAATTCAGGTATTTGTTGAAATATTATTGTAGCAAGAACAATCAATTCGAAGCAGTAATACCCCATATATGACGTCCTTCTATGTCAAAATGATGTACAACGAAATCAGTACTATATTCAACTGATTTATGTTTATCATTATCAAAAAGAAATTGTTTAAGATCGACATAAAATGTATCGGATATTTCATCAGAAGATAAAAGAAAATTAACAAATTTTTGTGAACTGAGTAAAGCAACAACAGGTGTAATAGTTATATAATAAAAGCTATTAGTAGAAGACAATCCAGTAATGAATACTGATGTGGTTCAAAATCTATTTCTTCAGAAGTTTCACGCTGAGCTGTACGAATAGGATCGTGATCAGTTTGCTCTATCATTCGACCAGGTAAAGTTAAAAAACAACATTGTTAATTGAAAGCAAGGATCAAATAATATTCAGCGATCATGTTTGCATTAAACCGTATTTTGTCTGATCGTTTAAGTAAAACTTGACTCGATTAGTCGTTTCATCACAATATATGGGTATTAGAATAGAAGTTGGTGAAAAATGTATTCACTTTATTTAGAATTATAAAGTTTATCAGTGTAATTGGCTGTTTGATTGAAATAAGCAGTCAAACATTGTCGTACAATATTATTACCAACTAATTGACTCGATGATGATATGGAACACCGAGGATTAATAGTGATACTTTTCTGAATCAAAACTCTTTTCAAGCGAAGCCACCAGATCAGTCTAGAAAAAGGAAGACATTCTTCAATGAATGCTCTCTAATTCAGATAGAGGATGAACAGAAACAAAGAGTTTTTACGTCGATACCAAATGACTTACAGTCAGTAATATTGGGTCCGGATCGAAAATCTTTATTAGTTCGATCTAGATCCAAAAACTTCGCACTCGATGGGTTCTATCCATTAGCGTCGCCTAAACCACGTGTAGGACATGATAATAGACAGGAAAAATATTGGATCTTTTCGTACCCACGCTGATGACCAACCCAGAAAATTTTATTGGGTCCAGATTCGGGTCTCAAAAATTTTTGTTGATCAGATGTAAAATTTCTGGACCCGATAGGCTTTTATCAATAGACATATGGACACCATCCAATGGAGTCATTCCGATTATTCTACCTGAAAATTATTAATAAACAAGAAAAGATGAATTTACTTCTTTCTTTTTCTTACAATAAATAAATAAAAGAAGAGGAGAGCCAAATAAATAAGTGTTTATTTTCAAAAGATTGTTCAGACCAAAAAAGCCAAAATACCCACATATTTTCCCAGTGGAAATTATTTTGTATTTCTCAAACGAGTCACAACAGCGTGAAAAAACTGCGAAGACAAAATAGATGATATAACGATTGAGGAAAACTCCCTAGATATCCAAAAAAATAATTACTTAGAGGCAAATGACTATAAAGTCAGATGATGTGCAACGATCTAGTCAGGACGGGAGGAAAATGGTATTTTGGATCTTGAATGAGTCTAGCTAGATTCTTTGCACCTATTCATTTTCTAAGTTCACGTGATCGAAACTTATTGTCTTTACCTATTTTCTATGGCGATTTTATCCAAACTGCTCTCCAGCAAAAACATTTGGGCTGAAACTTTCAACTTCACTAAAAAAGATCGTCAAACTCTAGCCCCTTCCAAAATGCGTCGTGTTTGTAACAGATTTCTCAGATCACAATATCTTAGACTACACTATTTTTTATTCCTCAAGCTCCTCGTCAGCAACATTGACAAATTCTATGATTTATTTCATCTTCAAATTAATTACTTTTAATAATTGTTCCTTGAAAATCAATTTTTAGTATTTTTTCATTATCCTTCGGTTTTGGATTGATAACAAAGATGAAATTATGCGACAATATTATTTTCAATTCTTTATTGTCTGTGAGTAATTTGTAATCTTTAATTCTATATGTAAATACAGAACCAATTGGTCCAACATCTACGATATCATTTATAAATGTAATAACGAATCGATGTTGATTTTCGCCTGTACATTCAAAATGTGTTTCAACTGTCTCTTTAATTGTTTTAAAACGTGCTACAAAGGCTGGATCACCATAACACGCAACAATATCGCGATCATAGAGTAAACCACAGATATCATTTGATAGTGTACTACATTTTGTATAAATTTTGATCTGTTCGGGATTATAACAACAATCGTAGTCTTCACATGTAAAATTTAAGTTAAATTTCAATAAATCTTCATTGTACTCCTTTATATCATTAATCATATGAATTTGATTGAAGAAATAGGATTCTGTAAGGGTGTGACGACCTACAAATAAAATGCAGAAAATAGATAGTAGTTTATTTTTGTGTATGTAGGAGTTATGCATAATTTCTGCCTCTCCCGTACAAACAATGCTGGTTGGCAGAAATAACTGAAACAGTTTCCTTCCAGGAAACTAGTAAACCAAACATTGTTGGATAGGACAGTTCACCTCAACTGATGTATACTGGCTCGATGCTGAAGTTTGAACAAATAAAAAAGTACATTTTAAGAATCAATCTTTCGGTCGTATTAGTCTTAAGGTCCGAATGCATTGATGTATGTGAGCAAGAAAGATGAGAAAACATATTTTGTTTCACAGTTTTAAAAGACCACTTTCATTGCACATGGGCAGTTATTGTTATCTTCTGCTGATTTCTTGCACCTCATTTTGTGAAACTTCTAAGTGTAGACGCTTTTGAATGAAAAACTTTATCAACGTAGACTTAAAATGTCTGATGTGATATTACTCACCAGTAAACGTAACAAAATTCAGAACTATTTATAAGTTCCGGTTACAATTATTTGGGTAAAAGAAAACTAACGTGGACTTTCGTCTCTATACGGATTAGTATAGATGTTCAAAATTTTGACCATGTATTAGACCATTGTGTCTGTATCATACGCGTTTGACAGATCTGTGCGGCTTTCATAGAACCGTGAATCACAGTTTGTGTTACTTTAAACTTCGACTCCTCTTGTTATATTTCATATGAGATCGCCTTCATTAGGAGTTTTACTATATAGAAAGGGTTGTCAAAGTTTAGAACAATACAAACCTATGATATCACAGTTGCCCAGACGACATTAAGTTCTGTTTGAATGAAATTATTGCAATTAGGGGCCAAGAATACTTTTTTAAGTGTAGTTATGTTACCGGTGCGCACTTTCAAAATAGAGGCTTTTTAACTTCAAAAATGAAGAATGTTCATTGACACTCTTTTGTAATACCTGGTATAGCGGTCCATTTCTTTAACACATCCCATCCCCCTCTTCCGAACCATGTCGATACCGTGTAACCACATAATTGTTTAACTCCCAATTTTCCCATAAATAACGTGACCATACAATTTGAACCACAGCAAAATCCCATTAGACAGTTTCCTATTGGTAAAAATACTTTTGGATTTGGACTGGAAGATATTGGATCATGCAAAAGTTTCTTCTCTTTCAGATTATTTATTGCACATAGACATGATGTGTCAGCTACAGGACATAAAACACCATTACTAAATGGTAATTCTAATGAGTACTGGTTACCATGACCCGATGTAACTAACAGATCTGGTTGAATATCATTAAACATTTCACACCAGAGTGTAGCTGGATGTTTTGGATATTCGTCACCTATTAGAACAAGATAAAAACGAGTTGTAACCTTGTGTTATACAAAGTCAGTGTGATAATTCTTACCACTTCGTTCTTCTCCAAATAACTTTGAATACCAATGTCCATTTCTGTCATCTCCAAATGTAAAACATGCCTCAAATAGATCTTGATTAACATACGTAAAATTCAGTCCTTTTGTAATAATTAATTCATCTGATGTATTTGTTGTTTTAACTGATTCGAGGGCCAATGAAGCATCACTGCCCGTAACTATACTCCACATAGTATCTAGGTAAGGTGTGAATGTATCTAATGTACGTAGAAGACGATGAATAGTTGCAATAAAATTTCGTCCACATTCTGTCGGTTGACAAATGAAACAAGTATATTTTGGTAAATTTGATAATTGTCTTAATTGATCGCGTAGTTGGAGAAAGTCATTGTCTTTGTAGACAATAAGTGACGCTTGTGAATGTTTTAAAAGAAGATATTCAACTACACGTTGCCATTCAGTATTCTGTGATGTTGTTTCAGTCACAATAATTGCATACGATTTTGAATATAGAGTGTCTGGAGTATCGAGTGTCAATGGAGCGATTAACGACATTTTTTCTTGCTTAATAGTTTAATAGAAGTTAAAAAATGAATAAACAAAATAAATCGTGGTACAATCTAAGAGTAGAGATTACATATACTTCGAAGAACATATCATCCCGCCTTTTTCATTCTATTCCACTTATTCGTCAATCCTATTAGAATGACTATTTTGGTGTTATGTATGAAGCCTGACGGTGGTTAGAACTCTAGAGATTCGTAAGATTTTTCAGTGGTACAATTTAACCGATTTTCCAGGAGGCTATCTGTCAGCTTCGTAAACCCTCAATCCTACATCTGGTAATTTGGAAAGCCAACGCCCTGCATTAGAGACTGTCGCGCATTCCAAAGAACATCGTTCTTACGAACGTGAGCTTCTTTCAAAGTTATGAGAAGATATTAACACCTGTTAGTGCCTTTTTAATGCTTTGAAATTTCGTATAAACTGATAACTGCTCAAGGGCTGATTCTCATTCGGTATGTGACAGAGATGAGCAAGTCGAGTCATATGCAACAAAATTATGATTCATGACTCGACTCGACCAAAAAAACATGCAATTCACGACTTGGTTCGATATTTTTTTCACCGACTCAACTCTACTCGAGACTCGAAAAAGTCTTACTCGTCTCTGGTATCTGTTCGTTCTATTAAAAGAAGCGACAAACACCGCCCGTCCATTCATTCTGTTCTCTCAGATGTATTTTTTGGATTACACTGTCTTACGAATATGATTAATCTTCATGATTCATTCAAACTATAAGATTATTAAATACACTACTAAGCCTGATATGTCGCAATAATCGAGGCAGGCGGGGCGGTCTCCCGGAATTCAGCAGTAAAGAAGCGTTACAACGAAGTTGCTGTATGAGACAGGAAAACGACAAGCAACAGATACCGGATGGTAGACATAACGAGAGCAGGTCCGATGTTGAATTGTATTCGTTGATTGATTTATCATGGAGAAACTGCAGAGTGATTTCGAAAAAAAGGTGATCGGATTATGTCACATGACGAAAGTGAGTCAATATTTGATAGGATCTATTCGCAATATGACTTGAGCGTTTCAGTTGTATACAATTCTTGCTGTTCAGCAAGTGTGTCTCTGCTCACATGCATTTATGAACAACGCCTGATATATTCAGATGATTTGTCTTTCGTTTTGTCAACATTCAGATGCACAAGGAGAGAAGAACGTATTAAATGAGTAACCACTGTATGTACACAGAAACCGAATTATACAGCCACTGAAGCAAACACATAAGCTCTAAATGTCCCAATAACCAAAACGAAGCGTTTATGCAAATTTCTTAAATATGTTGTTCTCTTCTTGTGCACCTGAATGTTGACAAAATGAAAAACAAATCTGAATGTATCAGGTATTGTTCATAAATGCACGTGAGCAGAGACACACTTGATGAACAGCAAGAATTCGTATAGCTGAAACGCTGAAATCATTGTGAATAGATCCCATCAAATATTGACTCATCTTCGTCATGTGACATAATATGGTTACCTTGTTTTTATGTTGTTATCCTTCTTTTTTTCAAAATCACTCAGCAGTTTCTCATTGATAAGTTAATCGACGAATAGAATTCAACATCCGGCATGCTCTCGTTATGTCTACCATCCGGTGTCTGTTGAAAATGGAAGAGGTAAGAATTTTTGTTCGCATTTTTGAAACTCTGACTTCACATCATCGTTTCTACTACCACCAATCCGCTTCAGATATTAACCTGCAATATCATGCATACAGGAAACTAGGATTCTATTAATAGTACCGGCTTTACTTTTGGCTTTTTCCAATAATTATACTGCAATATCGATAATGTGTCACATATGTCTTCGCAAAGCGTAACTTTAATCTACTGCTTCGGAGGCTCAGACAACCGAACCAACTTAGGGTTATTGTAGTTTAGAGATCCCCTGCTTGTGGGCAAAATATCGGCTCGAAAGCGAGGAAACACCTTGAGAGGTTCCCTCGCCAGTGAAAAATCACTATTGAAAACTATCAAGTGTTTTTTTCTATTGAATGTTTTCTATTTCCTATAGAAATCAACACCGTCCGTCACATTTCATCCTGCCCAGTAGCGAACGAACAGGTGGTAGAACGACATTCCAAAACCTACTGAACGGGGCGTTCAAATCGATTTCGAACTAGTTCTGTGGCCATCTGGAACGGGTTAAGGCGCTCGAACAGGGTTCAAGAACTGACCCGTTCAAAGAATTGTAGGGAGTTCAACAACCCGTTTCACATGGTCTCTTAACGCCCGTTCACCTACTAGTTTACTATTACATTTTACCGTCAGAGGAAGTTCAACTTACTCGTTTCAACTAGCAATTTGAACGGGTGTTCGAACGTCCGCTCATACAATAGTTCCTGTTTCTCTTTTGTCTATCACTTCAGAGGGAGTTCAATTTTAGGAATTTGTTATTAATATTTATATGCGAAGAACAATAAAAGTTCTAAGGAAAAAAGAAAGATTTTCCGCATAAAATGAGAAGAGCAAAATAGTCAGATCACTTTTTTGGCTTTTTTAGAAAAGAAATTTTACTGTAGGAAGGTTTTTGATTTAAATAAAAGCCAAATGAGATTTACACTTTCCATGTTTACTCTTAAGGCGCTATTCATAGCGTGAATGTGAAATATACGGTAATTATAACAGGTAAGACAAAAAGAAAACTAGAAATACAATCTCAGGTCTTTCGTTAAATCCAAAACCCTCGTCTAATAAACTTCTTTTTTAAAGCGAAAAAGTGCATGAAATAAGCACATTTCTCTCAATTGTCACCTTATCAGTAAAGAGAGTATCTACTACTTGGAAACTGCATAAAGCGAATAAGGTAAATGCAGCAAGCTTCACTTAGTGTTTGTTTAAACAAACAGTTTTCGATGATACCAGAAATGCAACTAAAAGGAAGGCGCTGTACAATAAAAATTTCAACAAATTTAATTTTTGTGCGATATTTATACATGGCTCGGTAGAGATCATCAAGCTGAACAAGAATATATGTGTTTTAAGATTCCGAAAGAATTTTTTGAAAGTTTCGCTTTCAAAATACTGGAATTTTTAAAAGTTGAAAAAACAGCCTAATATTAAAGAACAAGTGCATATCTCTAACCTAGTCATTTTGGCAGCTTTGAAACTTTTTTATGCTTATTTTACATGAAAAACTAAATCTAAAAATGTAGTTAATTTTTACGGCAAACACTGCAAAATACGAGTGCATTTCTTTATTTTTTGCTATCTGTTTCAAAAAAACATTAATTTTGTCAACAGCGAAGCCATATTTTTCAAAACCGACATATAACTTTTTTTCATGCCCATGTGGCGAGCTTAACGACATAAAAATATTTGCTTCATCTCTGATTCCAAAATAGTTAATGATAGGTAATGATGTGGGACTTTTTCTATAGGCCAGAAACTAAAATTGTCTAGGTTCATGTAACATTTGAATGACGCAAAACTACATTTTTAGATTTAGTTCTTTATGTAAAATAAGCATAAAAAAGTTTCAAAGTTACCAAAGTGACTAGGTTAGAGATATGCACTTGTTCTTTAATATTAGGCTGTTTTTTCAACTTTTAAAAATTCCAGTTTTTTGAAAGCGAAACTTTCAAAAAATTCTTTCGGAACCTTAAAACACATATATTCTTGTTCAGCTTGATGACCTCTATCGAGCCATGTATAAATATCGCACAAAAATTAAATTTGCTGATATTTTGAATCTCCGACGCGTTACAGAGTTACTTGAACATATGCCTGTTTAAAAAAAAAACTATTGAGTAGGCTTCATGATTGTATCTTGGGTAGAATCGTTCCATTTCGCTGCAAAAGCAAACGTCTTCAGTTTTACAGCACGTCAGAAGGGATTCAACAGAGAATACTAAAGTAAGATACGATAAACAAATAAACAAATAATTACGACAAAGTTCGTTGTTCTTATATTTCTTTGGGTCATTGAATTATCTAAAATTGAAAGTTAAAGAAAATAAATTACTGATCATTATTCTTATTTTAATCACACTTTAATTTGTGGTCGCCGGACACCCGAATAAATAACGCAAAAGATATCCGGATACGATGGAATGAAATGCAAGCACTTTTGTTACCCATCTTTTCTTGTCTATCTTCACCGTTTCGTTCCAAAAAGATATAGGACAAAAGAAAAAAAGTCAATGAGAACCAATGGATACGCTAGGGCTGAGCTCAAGCCTAAATTTTAGTCCTAGCGCACCTTAACGCGCTAAAAGACAAACTGGAGCTAGATGGCTTGCAGCCTCAGTCATCTTTTGCTCATTGGTACTGCTATACTGACATCAGAGCTTCGACCAGCATTACAGTCACATCTTCTACAAAAAATGTAGAATAATCTCAAAAGAAAGCGTATACTATGCACTCTGCTTTTCTGAGAAAAGCGTAAAACAGAGCGTATTTTTAAATTCCGAGGCATATGTATATTTTGCTTTTAGAAACACTATCTCCAGTATTATAGATAGCAATTTCACACTTTAGGTCTGCCGCTATCTTTTGGTCAACTGAGAATCGGTGGGATGTCGTTAAACAGTATAAAAGTACTCATTTTGCCCCTTTCGCTTCACAGATTCTTGTTTTTCTATTTAAGCTCATATTTTCTTTTTTCTTCTGAGTTCTATGACGGCAGCCATATTGAACATACTATACGACAAAATGAGGACCAATGAATGACAGCAGTTCTAAGACGGTGCGGAACTGAAAACAGAGACGTGATCGGGAATTATAAACGCCCAAGCAATACGTAATTACTTTACACATTTAATTAAGATCATTTTATTTATTTAACATCACTTAATGTTTGAGATAACATCCAACGTGCTATTATTAGTGGCCAGTTTTCACTTTTTCCAAATCAAGAGAGAAAAAATCCAAATTATCTTCGTAATTCTTCATTTTCTCCACCAGAACTCACCTTTTATGCAATAAAAGTAGCATATTCGGAGTCAGCGTCGAAAACTGAGTCCAATGATGTATGCT